CGGGCCTCTCAGAGAAAAAAGTCTGGCGGAAGACCACAAGCCACAGGGGACCACAGACTGAGGGAACTGGGGTTGTTCAGCTTGGAGGAGGCTCCAGGGAGACCTTGTAGTGGCTTTCCAGTATGGCAGGGGGGCTCCAGGAAAGCTGGGGAGGGGGTCTTGATCAGAGAGTGAAGTGATAGGACGAGGGGTAATGGTTTCAAAGTGAAAGAGGTGAGATTTAGATCAGATATTAGGAGGAATTTTCTGTGGGGGTTGTGAGACCCTGGAACAGGTTCTCCAGAGAAGTCATGGAAGCTTCCACCCCCTGGAAGTATTCCAGGCCAGGTTGGATGGGGCTTTGAGGAACTTGATCTAGTGGGAGGTGCCCCTACCTATGGCAGGGGGGGTGGACCAGGGTGTCTTTACGGTCCCTTCCAACTCAAATCATTCCATGATTCGCTGACTTCATGACTCCACGACCCCCTCAGCCCATATGTTTACTGCCTATAAACCACCAGATCCCCAGATTTTCCCCATCCTTCTGGTCTCAGGGTGACTTGGTGCTATCATACACATATTTCTGACCCTCTATCTTCTCCTTCAAGTGCCCACCGTGGTTCTGGGGAGCGAGATGAGACGAGGTTCTGCCAGGACGGTCACGTTTCTCAGTGGAAATGCCAGTTTAGCTGCACATCACACCAGGGTCCTGGTCCCCAGGCGCTTTCAGAAGTGAGTGTCTGGGCGATATTTTTAGAGGCATTTAAACATCTGAAGGCACCCAGAGTTGTTAGTGTGGATTTTCAAGAAGCACTTAATTGCCTGTGTCCTACGGGGAACTTCTGAGAACATTTCTAGACAGCCACCAGCACAGTTAGATGCCTCGGTAAAGATTTTTGAGCTCTGAAATTTCTTAGGTGGCTTAAAAAAGTTGAAAACTAATGAAAAAAAGAGGAATTTCTCAATCAATCAATCTATATATCTCTGTATCTCTCTATATAAAGTTAAAATAAGACAGCAATTGTTATGAAATAAGCAGGCTTCTGCAAGCCAGAAGGATGAATGTGTGATGGGTCACAGTCTTCTTCATGACAAGGTCAGCCCCTAAGCCAGTCCTCTCTCAGCCTGGCCTGGAAACCAGAGGTTTCTGACGAGCTTCTGCCTCTCCAAAGCCTGATGATGGCTTTCAGATAAGCTGGAAGAGGACGCCCACCCGTGTTCTTGAAGGAGGGCTCGACAGGTCTCTCGAGCACACATGTCTGCCAAAAAATTGCATTTGCATATAAATGCAGAAGTAAAGCCAAGCAGTCGAAAAACATGCATTTCCTCAAGGGAATGTTCTCATGCCCTCTGCTCTCCTCGTATCCATCCATCTCTACAAACAAGCCGAGCTCTCCAGCACCCTCGGCCAGCTGCCCTCAAAGAGTTTGGGGATCTGTGAGGTAGGCAGCAGGATTTGGGATGCCTCCTTCTCTCTGTCTCTTCTCTGAGCCATCCCTTTGTCTGTCTCCACGTCACACTGTGGTTCCTAATGTCTCCTCTGGCTCTTCTCATGGTGTTGAAGCTTCTCGAGAACCCCAAAGGGATTTCCCTTCTGATATTGGCAGCATTTCTTCACTGGTGCTGACTATCTTGGCATGAAAACTCCAGGATTCACTGGTCCAACAGTAAATGAATTTCCAGTGCCAACCATTGCTCCGGTATCTCATTTCTGGTCGGGTTTTATTTATCGAAAAGACGGAGAGCCTCATCAAAATGCAATTTGCTGAGCCCCGGCTCCAGATTGAGAAACTGCTTCTCGAAGCCAAAGGCAATTTTCCATGTAAAAAGGGAGACGAAGGGCGTGACATAGGTGTGTTTTGGGAATTGTGAAAGCTGCGCTACAACTTGGCGTGAGCTGCTGCCTTGCCATGGGGCTGCAGAGTGAGAGATCAAAATAAAGATAAACATAAGCAGGGAAACAACCGCAATGGATGAAAGGTGGAGGGGAAAAAAAAAAAAAGGACCCAAAAAGAGGCTGGTATATCCTAAGGAGAATCTTACCACACCGCAACGGTGTAAAGGCCTCTTAGTCACCGAGCGCTGCCGCTTGGGAGACAACAGTTGTGTCTTTTTAAAATTTTTCTCCCGCATTACAGGGCGTGTTTTCTGGGTAGGGTCAATGTTTGGCAAATTGAAGATGGAAATCTGTAAACCACACCGCGCTGATGAAGACAGGAGCTGTCTCCTCCTTAACGCCCATGCAAACCCAGCCCACCTCTGGGGATGGATAAAAGAGAGCATCTGCTGCCCTCCAGCCAGAGGGACTTACCGCCCTTCTCGGCACTCATCTCCTCGCAGCGCAGCTCCGTTGATCTTTCTTACCTTCTCGGTTTTTGACTCGACTTGGAAGAACCAACCATGTCCCGGCAGTCTGTCTGCAGAAGCTTTGGAGGCGGGAGTAGAAGGGGCTACAGCTCTTGCTCTGCCATCGGTGGTGGCTTTGGAGGAGGTGGCGGCAGGAGCAGGAGCAGCTACAGCTCATTCTCTATGTCCAGGGGATTTGGAGGTGGTGGACGTTGTGGAGGGTTTACCAGCAAGAGTCTCCATAGCATGGGTGGCGGTGGAAGGATTTCCATGGGTGGATGTTATAGTGGTGGAGGCTACGGAGGCAGGATGGGTGGCTTTGGTGGAGGCTACGGAGGCAGGATGGCTGGCTTTGGTGGAGGCTACGGAGGAGGACTAGGCGGCTTCGGTGGAGGAATGGGCGGCGGAGCAATGTGTGGCTATGGCGGAATGGGTGGTGGAGGAGGAATGGGCGGCTTTGGTGGAGGAATGGGCAGTTATGGTGGAGGAATGGGCAGTTATGGTGGAGGAATGGGTGGCTTTGGTGGGCCAGGCTTTGGCTTGCCAGCCTTTGGTGGCCCCGGTAGAGGTGGCCCTGGAATCCAGCCGGTGCAGATTGACTCAACCCTCCTACAGCCGGTCCACGTTGAGATCGATCCCCAGATCCAGCAAGTCAAAAACCAGGAGAAGGAGCAGATCAAGACTCTTAACAACCAATTTGCCTCCTTCATTGACAAGGTGAGAGGGTGGGATCGTGTTGAGTTCAGGTTCAAAACCAGGAGGAACACTGAAGCCCTGCAGAAACCTTGTCCTTTTGGAGCTAGACGTCAGCAGGCTGAGAAGCTTGAGTAGAGTCTTTTCATTAAGCAGGGCTAGGGAAGAGATGAGAATCTCCCTTGCACAGGAGATCAAAGCCATGTCTCCAGGGCTTTAATCCAGCCTGTTGCACCAGACTCAACTAATAGGTTATTCTTGCAAGCAGGTTCAACGCCTCTGAACATCTGCAGGTTCCAGGCACAGTTTTCCCCTCCTCTGCCATTCTCTTTCCAAATACTCTCCTATTTTTCACTTAATAGAATTATTTTTCCCCTTTGCTTTGGAATATCCAGGCTTTCCAGTGTGGACTAGAGATCTTTCTACAGAACCTGTGATGGGAATGTCCTCGGAGCTGGCTCTACACTGCAAAGCTCCTTTGAGTTGAATATGACTTAGGAATTTCCTCCTTTGCCTAACGTTACAGTTTAGGCAACAACAGAAATTTAAAAAAAAAATCAAAAAAAAGTTATATGGTTCTCTCATTGTTGTGCAAAGGAGAATCTTTTTAAGTGATGCAGGAGGTGCTGCAGTTCCCCAGGTGATGGTGAACACTCTATGTGTTGGCTTTCAGGTCCGCTTCCTGGAGCAACAGAACAAGGTCCTCTCCACCAAGTGGGAGCTCCTCCAACAGCAAGGACCTTCGGGTCCGAGGAAGAACCTCGATGTCATCTTTGAAAACTACATCCAGAACCTGCGGCGGCAGCTGGACTCAATCATGGCCCAGAGGGGACAGCTGGAGTCCGAGCTGCAGAACATGCAGCAGTATGTCGAAGATTACAAAACCAAGTAAGTGCAGGGACAAATCAACCCCCAAAGCATCTCAAGCATCTCGGAGTCATTGTTCACACACATGCTTTCCATGGCAATTGTGGGCACAGAATTTTCGGTCTAAATATTTTACCCTGTTTCTTTTTCCTTTTAGTTTGTTTAGCGTGGCCTTAGGCAGGAAAAATCGGGAAACTCATCCTGTTTTTCCTCTCCATAGGTATGAGGAAGAGATCAACAGGCGCACAACTGCCGAGAACGAGTTCGTGGTGCTCAAGAAGGTGAGTCACACGTGCCGCAGAGTGATCGCAGAATCACAGAGTGTTGGGGGTTGGAAGGGACCTCAAAAGATCATCCAGTCCAGCCCCCCTGCCAGAGCAGGATCACCTACAGCAGGTCACACAGGAATGCGTCCAGGCAGGTTTTGAATGTCTCCAAAGAAGGAGACTTCAACACTGGGCTTTATCCGTGCTGGGAGAGGGTACCCTCTCGAATGGGAACTTGTAGAGATCGTAGAGACCCAGGCTGATATCTGAAGTCCCTTAGATTTAATTTGCATAATTGACCAACACCATCACAACCATTACCCTCAGCTCAGACTGTGATGACCATGACCCTGAGGGATTTCCAAGAGGAAATAAAACTCTTCTCTGTGATGTTTCCTTTAGGATGTGGACTGTGCCTACATGACTAAAGCAGAGCTGGAAGCCAAGGTGGGAGCTCTGACAGATGAAATCAGCTTCCTGAGGTGCATGTATGAGGAGGTAAGAGGAGCTCTCCTTGCCCTGGGCTGGCTGGAGTTGCAGTGAGGCGGGTGGTGGCCAAAGACACGGAGGTGGACTTGGTGTGGCGAGGCTGTGGTGTGGCCTGGAGCTGCTGCTCCCTTCTCCTCTCCTGAGAGGGACAGGCTGACTCAGGCTAACTGTTGGTTGCAGGAGTTGGCTCAGATGCAGACCATCAGCCGGGACCTGTCTGTGGTGGTGTCCATGGACAACAACCGTCACCTGGACCTGGACAGCATCATCGAGGAGGTCAGGCGCCAGTACGAGCAGATTGCTCAGAGCAGCAGAGCTGAAGCTGAAGCTTGGTACCAGAGCCAGGTGAGTTGGAGAGCAGCTAAGAAGCCCTGGGTGATGATCAGAGCTTGCAGATAATTTATGATGATGTGAGACATCTCTTCAATCTTACGGTGCTGAAGTTCATGCAAGGAAGTCTCAAGAGGAACTGAGTTGCTTTTGAGAGATCTGACTCACTGTTTTCAAAGTGTCCAGAACCTTACTTGGGTATACAGTACAAACCTCTCAATGAAGATCATAGAACATAGAATCATAGAACAATTCAGGTTGGAAAAGACCCTTGGGATCATCAAGTCCAACCATTGGCCCTACACTACAAGATGACCAAAAATGTATCTTAACTAGAAAATGCTTGCCCAAAGTAGCTTTTTGGAAGCCTAGAGATGCTTGTTAGTGTCACTAGGATTCATTTCAAGGTTTAAATCTAATAGTTGTGTCTCAGAACAATCTTCTATATTGAACTGGGCATCCATGGCCAAAGCAATAAGGTCCTCGTAGCAGCATGTGAGCTACAAAACGGTTGGCAAATCTTGTGTAGGCATCAGGAACGTTTCACAGAAGGTTTGCTTTGTCTCCATGCCATCAGTACGAACAGCTGCAGAGCACTGCTGGAAGGCATGGGGACAGCCTCCGCAACACCAAGATCGAGATCCAAGAGTTGACCAGGAACGTCCAGAGGCTGCGGGCTGAGATTGAGAGCGTGAAGAAGCAGGTAAGGATTGGCTGGTGTCTGATGGGATTCTGGCATCAAGTTGGTTCCCAAATGCCCATGTGTGGGGCAGAAGCACTTTGTTTAATCACCCCTTTTTTCCTTCATGTAGATGTTTCCTTTTCTTTACCCCTTGACTTCTCTGTTTGGGTTGGAGGGCTGATCCTAGAGAGATAACATGAGATCTGAGAAAATGACTTTTCTTCTTCCTCAGAACCAGCAGCTGCAGGCAGCTATTGCCGAGGCCGAGGAGAGGGGTGAGATGGCCCTCAAGGATGCCAGGATAAAACTAGAAGAGCTGGAAAGTGCCCTGCAGAAAGACAAGGAGGAGCTGGCTCGCTTGCTGAAGGAGTACCAGGAGCTGCTGAACATCAAGATTGCCCTGGACGTTGAGATTGCCATGTACAGGAAACTGCTGGAGGGAGAGGAGAACAGGTAAGGGTTTGACCTCTGAGTTGTGAAGGATGTTACGATCTAGGCTGGATACCTTGGGTTTTGGTGTGAAGAGTGCAACCTCAAACCAGCTCTTTCAGTTAAAATGGGCAGGTGGGGTGAGTGGCATCCTGGGTGATATTCTGGATGGTCAGAACCAATAATTGGTGCCCCCTGTCCACTACAGGTGGTGTAACCACCGTTCCATTCCTGTTTTGTGCAAATATGTTAATGAACCTCAAATACAGAAGAACCTCATCACAAAGAGAGAACTGCCAACGCCTTCCCTCCTTAAATATTTTAGTGCCACCAACGTTGCTGATGAGGATGCAAGGGCACAATGATTTGATAACAAAACTATGGTGACCCGATTTTACAACATGTCTTTTGCTGGGAAATTAAAATTTACCAATTTCTCCCCACAGGCTGTGCAATGATGGGATGTCCAACG